GGAAGGGAAAAGGGAAATACCCTTTTTTTAAACAAAATTTTCGTAATTTGTTAACCATTTAACAAATGAATATAAAAAAGGGTTTTTTTCTAAAGGGACCCTTTAAAGCAAAAATGCAGAATATTACATTAAAAAAGTGGGGTTTATTTTTTTCCCAAAGGCAAACCGGGTTTTCAAGATCGGGACTTTTTTGTTAAGAAATTTCTGAACTTTAAACGATTGTTTTTTTTTTTTAGGGTTTTTTTTTTTTTTTAATTTTTTTTTTTTTTTACCAACGGGGGGGGGGGAGAAACATCTTTCTTTAATAAAAAAACCCGTACAAAAATCTCTGTAAAATTTGGGAAAAAACCGTACCAAAAACCCCACAAACGGTGGGGGAACCCCCTTAAACCCTTAAACCTTTTCTGTGGGGTTTGTATGGTTGTTGAACATGACGTATCGTTTTTTCTTCTTTTTTTTCAGGTTCACAGTTCGATTCGCACAGCGATTATGGGGACTAGGGACCGCCCTGGGAGGACAACTTCACACAATTATTGGTTTTGTTGTAATGTTTAAAATTTTTCCCTTTGTATGGGAGAGGAAAGATAAATGACGTGGGGTGTCCGCACTGGGTTTTCAAAAATTTTTAAATGTACAAATTTAAGTAAAAAACCCGTAGGATTTTAAAAACTGTACTAATTTAATGTTTTTTCCCGTGTGATTATTTTTTTTGAGCAGGGGTTAAACCCCAAATCTGGGGGGGGTTTTTCCAGGGACTGGGGACTGGAAACTGCTGTGTTTTGGGAAAATAAAAAACTAATTTTAACAGTAAAATAAGAACATAATAAATCTTCCAGATTTTGTCCCAAAATATCAACCGGGTTTTTGTTTTTAATTTTTTTTATTGTCACATCACAATCCCTTTTTCCCTAGGCCATGGATTTAGAAAGGTTTTTCAGCGTTCCTGTCCGGAAAATTTTAGCGCGTTTTCCGTGCAGATTGTTGAAATAGGTGGCTTGCCACGTCGTCTCCAAGGGGATTTGGGGGGGGGGGGGGGGGGAGGGCGTCCTTCTTTTTCTTTCCTCTGGTGTAGGGAAAGTCTTTGGGAGTATTCAGCATTCTTCCTAACATGACCAACCCCAATTAAATTTTTTGGTTTATCATATGTCTAAAGTTTCTTGGTTGTGAAAAGATTTAGTTTAGGTTGAGATAAATCTCCCCAGAATTTTTGATTTTTTACGTGACATTTTGGGGGAAAGGGGGGGGGGGGACAGCTGTATGCACCCTTTTTGGTCATTTCAGCTTTTTGCTCCATAAAAAAAACTGGCAAAATAATTTTTGGAGGGGATTTGCGTTCCTCGCATACTGTGTTTTTCCAGATTGCCTACCTCAAAAGCATCTCTAGCTTTGTTCGGGCCCGGGGACTGTATTGTCGTCCTCTGCCCCCTACAGTAGGGAACCACACTCCCCAAGTTTGTGAGTGATTATTTTTAAAGGATTTTTGTTTAGGCCCCGGGTTTTTGGTTTTGGACTGTTTTTTCATGATCTTATTTTTCCCTTGTATTTTTTTCTGTCCCCCCTTTTTTGCTGTGCGTTAGTCTTTTATTTTTTCGGTTTATTTTTTTTTTGGTGATAGGAGGAATCATTGCAAAATCAAGGTCATCAAGCATGGGGAAGGAGTCATTGTATGCCTCCGATGTCGGGTTACGTGTTTTTTTGTAGCAGTAATTGAAGGTAAAAGAGAGGGAGAATAAAACATCCCTGTCTACACCGCTTTAGGGGAAAAATGTTGAAATTTAAAACGCAGGAAAAGTTTAAGAAGAGAGCAATAGTGGACTATCTTTTTGGGTTTCCATAAATTAAATTTCCAGGATGTTTTGGGGCGCTTAGAAAGCCACAAAATTTTTATAGATATAATTAATATAGAATATATAGACACACCACACACACACGCACGCACGCGACGCACGCACGAACGCACGCACGCACGCACGCACGCAACGCACGCACGCACACGCACGCACGCACGCCACGCACGCACGCACGCACGCACGCACGCACGCACGCACGCACGCCGCACGCACGCACGCACGCACGCACCCAGCCACGCCCCACGCACCCACGCACGCCACCCACGCACCGCACGCACTCACGCACGCACTGCACGCACGCACGCACGCAACGCACGCACGCACGCGTCGCGCGGCGCACACAACACACGCACAACCTCACAAGACACCCCACACGCACTACAACACCACACACAACACACACATACAGAGAGAGAGAGATTGAGAGAGAGAGAGAGAGAGAGAGGAGATTCGAGGAGACGAGAGAGAGAGAGAGACTTCTGTTGCCATTCATTGCACTGTTCTAAGATGTTGCGTAGGGTGAAGATGTGTTTAGCTGTTCCTCTGCCCTTTCTGAATCCTGCTTGTTCCACTCATGGGCATTTATCTACATCCCTTTCGAGCCGCATTACGATGGTTTTACAAAAGACTTTGTTTGGTACTGAGAGTGGAGTAATTCCATTCCATTTGTTGCAGTCTGTTAAATCTCCTTGGGGTTGGGGGGGGGGGGGGGTGTTTTCCAAGTCATCAGGCAAAACTTCTTGCTTCCCAAATATCCGTGAACAGTTAATGGTTCTAGAAGGCTGACAGTTGTGTTGGGATCTACTTTGAGAAGTTCTGCTGACAGTTGTGTTGGGATCTACTTTGAGAAGTTACGCTGGCAATTGTGTTGGGATCTTCTTTGAGAAATTCTGTAGGGAGTTGTGTTGGGATCTACTTTAAGAAGTTTTGTGGGCAGTCGTCTTTGCCTGATGCTTTGTTGTTTTTAAAGTGTGGATGGCTTTAAGGATTTCTTGTTTGCTTGGTGGTTCGGTAATAATGTCAAGGTCCTGAGAGGCTGGTTGAAAATCAGGGGGATGTTCAGGATCAGGTCTATTCAAGAGGTTAGAAAAGTGTTTAGTCCACTGCAATTTTCTACATACCTAGAGACATTTGGAGACATTAGAGAGAGAGAGAGGGAGAGAGAGAGAGAGAGAGAGAGAGAGAGAGAGAGGTGGAGCGGGAAGAGAGCGAGAGAGAGAGAGAGAGAGAGAGAGAGAGAGAGAGAGAGAGAGAGAGAGAAAGAAAGAAAGAGAAGCATGCATCCATGTTTCTGTAATCTCTACACACACTAACCAAAACCTATTCCCGATCTTCAGAACGGATTTACACCTGTCAAAGAGTGATACAGGATACACCTGTCGACTTTGAAGTCTGGGACACAGCAGGTGTGGTAAGTATCACTTGTCAAGCTAACAGCCGTCAATGCAACATTACTATTATCTCAGAGAGAACAACATTATGACAAAATCCAGTGTTCACTGACTAACATGAGAGTTTGCAACATCACAAGTTTCATTGTATTTATTTTCACATAATTTTGTATTTGATTATTTATTGTTGTCTGTAGTAAAGGGTCGCTGACATAATGGAAAAAGTTTGGGGGTGGGGGAGGGGGTGGGGGATGTTGGGTCGGTTCCAAGTGCCGAAATGAGCAATGGCTGCCCACTTGGTCAAAAATGGCACCTAAACATCATTATAGTTAATCAGCGTATCAGTTTTTATTTAAAACAAAACAAAAAAAAACCAAACCTTGGAAGACTTTTTAAAAAAGTGAATGTCGGTTAATTGTCTGGTGCAGTGACTTGCAGACTTGCTGGGTGGTACAGTGACTAGCTCACTTACAGGTGACCAGGGTGGTACAGTGACTAGCTCACTTACAGGTAACCAAGGTGGTACAGTGACTAGCTCACTTACAGGTGACCATGGTGGTACAGTGACTAGCTCACTTACAGGTGACCAGGGTGGTACAGTGACCAGCTTACTTACAGGTGACCAGGGTGGTACAGTGACCAGCTCACTTACAGGTGACCAGGGTCAGTGACTAGCTCACTTACAGGTGACTAGGGTGGTACAGTGACCAGCTCACTTACAGATGACCAGGGTGGTACAGCGACCAGCTTACTTACAGGTGACCAGGGTCAGTGACTAGTTCACTTAAAGGTGACCAGGGTGGTATAGTGACTAGCACACTTACAGGTGACCAGGGTCAGTGACTAGCTCACTTACAGGTGACCAGGGTGGTACAGTGATCAGCTCACTTACAGGTGACCAGGGTCAGTGACTAGCTCACTTACAGGTGACCAGGGTGGTACAGTGACCAGCTCACTTACAGATGACCAGGGTGGTACAGCGACCAGCTTACTTACAGGTGACCAGGGTCAGTGACTAGCTCACTTACAGGTGACCAGGCTGGTATAGTGACTAGCACACTTACAGGTGACCAGGGTCAGTGACTAGCTCACTTACAGGTGACCAGGGCCAGTGACTAGCACACTTACAGGTGACCCGGGTGGTACAGTGACTAGCACACTTACTGGTGATCAGAGTGGTATAGTGACTAGCACACATACTGGTGACCAGGGTGGTATAGTGACTAGCACACTTACTGGTGACCAGGGTGGTACAGTGACTAGCACACTTATTGGTGACTAGAGTGGTACTGTGACTAGCACATTTACTTGTGACCAGGGTGGTATTGTGACTAGCACACTTACTGGTGACCAGAGTGGTACAGTGACTAGCACACTTACTGGTGACCAGGGTGGTATAGTGACTAGCGCACTTACTGGTGACCAGAGTGGTACTGTGACTAGCACACTTACTGGTGACCAGGGTGGTATAGTGACTAGCAGACTTACTGGTGACCAGAGTGGTACAGTGACTAGCACACTTGCAGGTGACCCGGTGGTGCAGTGACTAGCGGACTTGCAGGTGACCTGGATGGTGCAAGGACTAGAGCACTTGCCGATGACCCAGGTGGTACAGTGACTAGAACACCTACAGGTGACCATGGTGATACAGTGACTAGCACACCTACAAGTGACCATGGTGTTACGGTGATAAGCACACCTACAGGTGACCATGGTGGTACAGTGACTAGCACACTTGCAGGTGACCCGGTGGTGCAGTGACTAACACACCTACAGGTGACCCGGTGGTACAGTGACACACACCTACAGGTGACCACGGTGGTACAGTGACTAACACACCTACAGGTGACCCGGTGGTGCAGTGACTAACACGCCTACAGGTGACCACGGTGGTACAGTGACTAGCACACCTACAGGTGACAAGGGTGGTACTGTGACTAGCACACCTACAGGTGACCAGGGTGATGCAGTGACTAGCGGACTTGCAGGTGACCTGGATGGTGCAATGACTAACGGACTTGCTGTTGAAACGGGTGTTGCAATGACTAGCGGACTTTCAGGTGTCCCGGGTAGTACAGCGACTAGAGCACTTGCCGTTGTCCGGGGGTAGTGCAGTGACTAGCGCACTCGCCGGTGCACGATAGTGGTATAGAATTAAACTGAGGTGGGGTGGCGTGGGGAGGTCGAGAAAGTTTTGACATTTGGGTAAACCTCATAACCGCCGCTCCAAATAATTTGTCACGAATCTGCCAACTGTCCACGTTTCATATCCTTAAATAAAAATAGGATTTAAATAGCTTTCAATAATTCTATTTCACGTCTCAGTTGACAAAGGAAGATTGCATAAAATATTGTTAATATTGTAAAATGCTGCCTTTGCTTGAGCTTTTCGACGTTTAACTTCCTTAAATACATCTTACATCTGATGTTATCAGTTATCCCAGTACTTTAACATATCAAATTTCTTGAGGTTTGTCTGATTTAGTTTGATGCTGCATTTCGGAGGGTCCATTTTTTTCCCCGCCTTTTTGCTGTGTAAGCAGTAAAATTCTGTAAAGATCGTATCTACTTACACTATTATTTATTTATTTTCCTTTCCCAAGTTCACTGTAAAATTGTGTAAATATTGTGTTTATTTTAACCATTAGTTACTTATATTCCATTCCCTTATTAGCAGTAAAATTGTGTATGTATCCTGTCTATTTACAGAATGAAAACAGCAGACTCAAGGAACAGATACGTTGGGCTGATGCCATCATTCTAGTCTATGACGTCACTGACAGGTGCAGCTTCAACGAATGTACCCGTCTGAAGTTTCTCATCAACTCCTTCTCTAGAAAAAGTCGTTGGAAGATCCTCAGTGATAGCAGTTCGGACGTCATCGGTGGCATTCCCGTCGCCCTGGTGGGCAACAAAGCGGACAGAGAAAAGGATAGAATGGTCCACCCAGAGGAAGGAACTAACCGTGCTGTACAGCTGAAGTGTGTTCGTTTCCATGAGGTCTCTGTGCAGGAGGAAATCGATGATGTCATTACGGTCTTTGAAGACCTTTACATAATCTACAGGAAGATGAAGAAGTTCAGAGTGAGTCTGTCATCGTCTAAGACATCTCTGACGGAAGAGAAGTTGGTGTCCAGCTCCGATGATGACCCGGAAGAATGCGAAGCCAGGTCAAGAAGCGGTGACTTTAGACGAGGGACAATAATCTCAGACCCAGATAACGTTTCGTCCAGCGGCGACATCAGCTGTAGGCCAAGGTCAAGGCGACGGGAAGCTATTTATACAATGAGTTGATCTTCCCTTTCAGTTCAGAGAGACAGTTTGTTCACATAACAGTCAATGAACATTACCCATACTGTTGACAGACATCATTATGATCACCACCATTGCCCTGTCGCGCCATTGTATGTCGTATAAGGCTCTGTGTCTGAATCTCCATTCCGTTCTAACATGTGCAATCACTTGGATATCTTGAACTGGATCCAATCCAGCAGCTCTAGCTTCTCTAATGAACGTTCACATTGCGGTTTCTCTTGAACATTCTTGTGTCCTGAATCTCTCAGTGTGCTATAGCGCTGGTGACTCAGATCTTAGGCTTGGCCTCCTTAAAACCAAATCAGCAATCTCAGCCACAGTCATAAGCAAAGAGAATCTCAAGGGCTATGGTGGAACCTGACAATGAGGATGTTTAAGAGTCAGATGCAGGTGCACAGAAACGATCTCAACTAAGATTATTTGGAACCAGGGCTGTCGAAGTTGGTACTATCATACAAATTTGATACTATTCCCAAAAATATATCTGCAGCCCTGACTGAAATTCTTTGAAAAGAAGTTTAAATAAATTGTATTGGTGGAGTTGCTTTTTGTGACCCCAGAAAGGAAAAGGCGTAAAGAGGAGAGACGGGGTCCTAGTTTTAAATTCAGTGAAATGTCTGAGAAGTTATGTGAACAGCCAGGCTATGGTGAAATTTGAATAAAAGCTAAGATTCTGTATTTCAGTTGAAATAATTCATTTATTTGCTTCATTTTACCCAGTTTTTACTGTGGTACGCAGGTGGCAAGATGCAGTGAAATAGTCCAGCCAGTCAACTGTGCCGCTCGCCTGCTGACCGGAAGGTCGTGGGTTCGGGTCCTCACAGAGTCGGGCTTTTCTTTTCAAAAATGACCTTAGCTCCTACGTCGACCCAGTCTTAAGTGGGTACCAGCTATAGTCCTGTGAAGTAAAAGCGGCCGGTGTGATTTTAACCACATCACCGCTGAAGTGCCAATTGGTCTGTAAAATATTGGTATAAGGTTTTGTTTACGTTGCCAGGCCTAGGATTAGAGTAACTTCCCTTGCCATTCATGCTTCCTTAGGTCGCTGGAGATTTTCTATGTTGCTGGAGTGTTATAATATGGATTGGTTTGGCGTTCGCTCAGCGTATGTAATGTTTTTGGGAGGTTGTGTTGTTGTGTGTCTATTTTGGGCGCGCCGTAGGCACCTGTGTACAAATAAGAAGTACTGCATGGGGAGGCGCCGCAGGCGCGTCAATTCTTGGCTATCAAAACTGGGATGTAGTTGTATTTCTATGTTCGATGGCGGTGGCTACCCCTCGAGAGAAACCAGTTATAAGGAACGTAGGATTAGAAAAATATCGCTGTACCCATATTCACAAAAATAACAAGGCAAGCGAGCGGTGAGAAGACGAGAAAAGAGGCAACGGTTACACCGTTCACAATAAGGAAAACATGACTCTCCTGCAACATAGGAGAGGTCCTGCGACATAAGGAGGCATGAATGGCAAGGGAAGTTACTCTAATCCTGGGCCTAAAAACGTGAGCAGCACCAGGTATAGCCCTATATTCCCAATACGCAAGAAGGCGTGAAAAAGAGTGCTTTGAAAGAGTGGAGTTTAAACAAACTTTGGAATAGTGGAGTTTGAACAAACTTTGGAAGGTTGGAGTTTAAACAAACTTTGGAAGATTGGAGTTTAAACAAACTTTGGAAGATTGGAGTTTAAACAAACTTTGGAAGATTGGAGTTTGAACAATCTGTGCAAACAATTGTTTTGTATTTTTTTGGCTTCAGTTTGAAATAAAGACGGCCGGCGTAAAGCTGAACACATTACCCATCCAGTGCCGATTGGTCTGTAAAAATATGGGGTGCTTTTCCCACATGCTCGATGCACCTAAAGGCAAATTCCCGTGAGTCAAGCAATAAAGAAAAAACGCAGACGTTGGATAGGACACACATTAAAAACCCGAGAATAATGTAACTATAGTGTCTTTGCTGAACACAGTTTGCAACAAAGTAGCACAGTAACCCATAGTAGCAATAAAAGCAGACTAAAACACGGAGAAGATAGCTGGAGATGGAAGTTTAAAGAAAAATTAAGATTGGGGGGACATCGGGTGAGATGTCTTCGATAGCAAAGTACAAGACAACTTAGGGTGCGTTGGCTGAAGACCTTTTCACTTGGGTTAAAAAAGGGTGGAGGGTGGGGGCGGGAGGGTTAATGGCAGAAGAAAAAAAACCGCACAGTCGATGAGGGTAGTACTCAACAGCTGTTGCCACATTGATAACTGCGCAGTCAATGGATGCACTCTTCAATACGTGACGCACATGCCAAAACAAGTAATGAACTCACCCTTACAGTTGATACTAAAACACTTACGTAGACTTCACAGAGCAGAGATGACTTGTATTCATATTCAAACAGAAATTATACAACATTCCAATTACAATTATTTTTTGTTTTGTTTTTTTGTTGAACATCACATTGAAAGGTTTTATTCGGTGACCTGTCGTGAAATTGTGTGTTTGTGCGGCCTTGTAGGCTAATATGTATACACATATACATACAATAACATACGTAATAGCAAATAATATATCTGAAATAATTTGATGTACTCGCAGCTAAATGAACAAAAGCTTGAAAATAGAACTTCTGTAGGAGTTTAATAACCGCACAGTTCCCAATGTAATCTAGTGTAAGTAAATTATTCGTTTCCATGTCTTGAAATGTCGAGAGTATACAGTACCAACCCTACCTGTTTACACACAAGTGAGTACTTTCACTTAGACCTAACTGCCGGTTTCTCTGTATAGCAGTAGAGCTGTGCCAGACCCGCCATATAGCAGTAGAGCTGTGCCTGACCCGTCATATAACAGTAGAGCTGTGCCTGACCCGTCATATAGCAGTAGAGCTGTGCCTGACCCGTCATATAGCAGTAGAGCTGTGCCAGACCCGCCATATAGCAGTAGAGCGGTGCCAGACCCGCCATATAGCAGTAGAGCTGTGCCAGACTCGCCATATAGCAGTAGAGCTGTGCCAGACCCGCCATATAGCAGTAGAGCTGTGCCGGACCCGCCATATAGCAGTATAGCGGTGCCAGACCCGCCATATAGCAGTAGAGCGGTGCCAGACTCGCCATATAGCAGTAGAGCTGTGCCAGACCCGCCATATAGCAGTAGAGCTGTGCCGGACTCACCATATAGCAGTCAGTAGAGCGGTGCCAGACCCGCCATATAGCAGTAGAGTGGTGCCAGACTCACCATATAGCAGTAGAGCGGTGCCAGACTCACCATATAGCAGTAGAGCGGTGCCAGACTCACCATATAGCAGTAGAGCGGTGCCAGACCCGTCATATAGCAGTAGAGCGGTGCCAGACTCACCATATAGCAGTAGAGCGGTGCCAGACCCGTCATATAGCAGTAGAGCGGTGCCAGACTCACCATATAGCAGTAGAGCGGTGCCAGACTCACCATATAGCAGTAGAGCGGTGCCAGACTCACCATATAGCAGTAGAGCGGTGCCAGACCCGTCATATAGCAGTAGAGCGGTGCCAGACCCGTCATATAGCAGTAGAGCGGTGCCAGACCCGTCATATAGCAGTAGAGCGGTGCCAGACCCGTCATATAGCAGTAGAGCGGTGCCAGACCCGTCATATAGCAGTAGAGCTGTGCCAGACCCGTCATATAGCAGTAGAGCGGTGCCAGACTCACCATATAGCAGTAGAGCGGTGCCAGACTCACCATATAGCAGTAGAGCGGTGCCAGACTCACCATATAGCAGTAGAGCTGTGCCAGACTCACCATATAGCAGTAGAGCTGTGCCAGACCCGCCATATAGCAGTAGAGCTGTGCCAGACCCGTCATATAGCAGTAGAGCGGTGCCAGACCCGTCATATAGCAGTAGAGCGGTGCCAGACCCGTCATATAGCAGTAGAGCGGTGCCAGACCCGTCATATAGCAGTAGAGCGGTGCCAGACCCGTCATATAGCAGTAGAGCTGTGCCTGACCCGTCATATAGCAGTAGAGCTGTGCCAGACCCGTCATATAGCAGTAGAGCGGTGCCTGACCCGTCATATAGCAGTAGAGCGGTGCCAGACCCGTCATATAGCAGTAGAGCTGTGCCAGACCCGTCATATAGCAGTAGAGCGGTGCCAGACCCGTCATATAGCAGTAGAGCTGTGCCTGACCCGTCATATAGCAGTAGAGCTGTGCCAGACCCGTCATATAGCAGTAGAGCTGTGCCAGACCCGTCATATAGCAGTAGAGCGGTGCCAGACTCACCATATAGCAGTAGAGCTGTGCCAGACCCGCCATATAGCAGTAGAGCTGTGCCAGACCCGTCATATAGCAGTAGAGCTGTGCCTGACCCGTCATATAGCAGTAGAGCGGTGCCAGACCCGTCATATAGCAGTAGAGCTGTGCCTGACCCGTCATATAGCAGTAGAGCGGTGCCAGACCCGCCATATAGCAGTAGAGCGGTGCCTGACCCGTCATATAGCAGTAGAGCGGTGCCAGACCCGTCATATAGCAGTAGAGCTGTGCCAGACTCACCATATAGCAGTAGAGCGGTGCCAGACTCACCATATAGCAGTAGAGCGGTGCCAGACCCGCCATATAGCAGTAGAGCGGTGCCAGACCCGTCATATAGCAGTAGAGCTGTGCCTGACCCGTCATATAGCAGTAGAGCGGTGCCAGACCCGTCATATAGCAGTAGAGCTGTGCCTGACCCGTCATATAGCAGTAGAGCGGTGCCAGACCCGCCATATAGCAGTAGAGCGGTGCCAGACCCGCCATATAGCAGTAGAGCGGTGCCAGACCCGCCATATAGCAGTAGAGCGGTGCCTGACCCGTCATATAGCAGTAGTGCGGTGCCAGACCCGTCATATAGCAGTAGAGCTGTGCCTGACCTGTCATATAGCAGTAGAGCTGTGCCAGACCCGCCATATAGCAGTAGAGCGGTGCCAGACCCGCCATATAGCAGTAGAGCTGTGCCGGACTCACCATATAGCAGTAGAGCTGT